AATCTCAAATTCCTTTATCCAAAAGATTTCGCTTGAAAATATCTTGCTTCTCACCTTTTAATTGCCACCACCTAATCTTTGGTGTTACTACTTGTCGACGTTTTTGGATTTTACTCATAATACACACATCAAGGACTAGGACCCTATGTTGTGTCGTTACAGCATCTCCAGGGATCACCTTACAATTTTTACAAAGTTTTCTATCTGTGTTCCTAACCAAAAGAAAATCAATCTGCGACCTTGAGGCTCCACTTTTGTAAGTGATGAGATGCTCATCTCTCTTCTTGAAACAAGTGTTGGCAATCTTAAAATCATACGCCAATGAGAAATCAAGAAGAGTTTGCCCTTCATTGTTTAGCTCTCCAAAACCAAAACCACCATGCACCCTCGCATACTGACCAGCTTCCCTCCCGACATGTCCATTAAAGTCTCCTCCAATAAAAATCTTTTCACTCTGTGGTATGTGTCGAATCAACCCCTCCAGATCCTCCCAAAATAATTCCTTAAGACTGGCTTCTGTCCTGACTTGCGGCGCATAAGCGCTAACAATATTAACAGTCTCACGTCCAATTATCATTTTTAAAGAAATAATTCTGTCTCCAATTCTGCTAACTTCTACAACGTTCTTCTTCCACTCCTTATCTATAATGATGCCTACTCCATTGCGTGCACTTACTTTTCCTGTATACCAAAGTTTGAAACCTTGAATATCCTTAGCTCCTTCTCCACGCCATTTTGTTTCTTGCAAGCAAATGATATTGATTTTCCTTTGAATCATAACCCCTACAACCTCTACAGATTTACAATTTAATGTCCCAACATTCCAAGTACCAAATCTAATTTTGCTCTTATGAACTAACTTCTTTAGCCGCGTGCGTCCAGAATGACGCGGTAGCCCTTGCTCATTTAACACTACATCCGGGTGCCGATGCAGCGGCTCTAACTCACTTATCACTGTACTCGAGCCATGCAGCGCGTTACTTACGGGCAACGACCTAGCATTAACATTATAACGTCTATTGTCCATGTTCATGATAGATTCAACAAATTTTTACATTGGCTGTTGATGGCCTAACACAACCCTCCTCCTTTACCCGGGCTTGGGACCGGCTATAAACATAGGCGGAGTTCGGTGAACCCATTAAAAAGGAAAAAAAAAAATCATTCTCGTTATTATAAGCTCTCCTTGTAAATTATTGAAAATATTGATTAATAATTAAACGCTTTGTTTCACTGTTGTTGTGAATGTTTCAGCTAGCTGTAAAGGATGTACAGGATGAGTAATAAGTAACGGTAGCAACTTGGAGAACATTGACTAAGGCACTTGGAGACATCTTTGATGTTGTGATTTACGATTATCTCCTGTAAGGATACAAAAATCTTAATAGTTTCTAATACGACTTGACTAAGGCACTGGTTTTTTTTGCATGATTTATCTATGGTCTTGTATTTAAAAAAGAAAAAAAAAACTTGGAGAAGATTGAGAAAGTGGTGTCACGTTGCTATTAAATTCGCTTTTCTGCTGCTGGTGCCGCAAACACGCGCATATCCAGTAAACTGCTTACGAACCCTGCAAATGCAGAGGCAGAAGATGGGGAATTTGCTTTGTTTGTTTCTTGGGTGAATAAGCAAATCACACAAACGAGTTCAGGTTCTATAAAAATACTACTAGGCTTAAATTTCAGAGGATAATTTACTCGATTATTTTAATTTGATGAAAATGAGATTTTATTAAATATATTTTTATAATACTATCCTTCTATCTTTATCATATTTTTCTCTATTATAGGGTTATTGAATGACAGATATTGTTAAAAATTTATATTTATATTTTAAAAAAAAATTAAAATTATAAATTATATTTAATGAATTTATTTAATAGATGTGATTTTATTTAAAATTGTCTTACAAACTGGGATGGGAGGGTAACTTTAGTTATTAAGTACTTTCTTTGAAAAATGTTTAATCGCACCATCAAGCATTATGAATAGTAACTTGTTAGAAGAGCAAGAATGAATAAGGAAAGGCACGCCTTTATTTGACCAGCTTTTATGAGGCCATTGGGAAATTGGAAGCGGAAGATTTTGTGGCCAATCAATGCAGAGTCAATGGTCATCTTTTTCCCTCTTATTGGGGTTATATGAGCCATCCAACCACAGTTCAAGATTAAAGCAAACAAGGGATCTAGCTGGGGTCAATACTATTAATTAAAACGTGTTTAAAAGAATTATTTTAAATATACGTGATCGAAATTTTGTTAAATTAATATATTCGGAAATCCGATATTTAATAGTATTGTTTAGTTATATTCAAGCATTATCACATTGAATTGATGCAGTTTTTTCAGCTAGTTTTTTAATTAACAAAACTTGAATGCAAAACCTTTTAATGCCTTACTATTTAAGATGAAAACTTAATTACCGTTGGCTACCTTCTAATTTAGTAATCATATTCAATGACTAATATCCATAATTTCTAGGAAGTTTGCCCTTATTGTTTTGAAAATGGGAAGAAGTATTATTCGCATGTTTTACTTATTAATATGATATTGATTGTAACGTTATTATTAAGATTAAAATAAGGAAATTCGTGTGATTTTATATACTTTTAACCAAGTAATAAATTATTTTTATTGATACATGAGACTTTACTGAAAATATCTAATGGAGGGATGGATAGAGTACAGCCTTGGAAGGAATCAACAGCTCAGGAAAAAAAAAAAAATTGCACTTATGGATTTGGGGTTTCGTTGTTTTCTGATAAAATGCTGGCTGCTTAGGGTGTTGAGAATCAACGACTCTCTCTGTGACACGGCTTATTTTGATAACTACGCATATCGGTGCTATCATTTCAAGTTGAAATATTTTTGTCTTTGCCTAAGAAGGCGTGCATGCTTGCTCATATTATATGTAAGTGTGGGCGGATAACGCGTGAGGCCAAGAGGGTAACGAGTACCACCGCTTTTAACCAAATTTCAGGAATTAGGTTGAAGCCATTTCCCGGGAAAGCACTGATGTAACAACCTGCAAGACTCACGCTTGGCTTTCTGATATTCTTTCTGTGGTTATATATTTCTAAAGTGAGCCATGATTCCATCTTTGCTGCTTGGCTTACAAAGCATGAACAAATCGAATTATGAAGTCATTGTGTAATGCATGCACGCATCAACAAACATGCATGCGGCCAAAGAAGGAAGGCTTGGGCAGGGCAGGGCAGGGGGTGGGGGGGGGTGTTCCACCTAATTAGCGGCATTTGATAAATTCGGAGATGGACAAAGCGTGTGAACGAAAGCAGGGCAGTGGGAGGCATTCATTAATTTAAGATTAATAAATAAAAAAAAAAAGGGAATAATTAAGCATATGGGTCGGAATTTGGGAGTCCTCCTGGTCCGGTCCTCCCCGCACCCCCACGCGCTGCGTGCCCACGTATCCCACATTGCTTTCCTAAGCAAAGCATGTCTGGAAATGCGAACGGAACAGGGAGGGACCAGCGGAGTGGTCTTCGATTCATGATAGGGCTTCTCTCTTTCCATTTTTGGCAACCCCCGACCTTGCCTTCATTGGCTCCTAATACTCACAGTTTAATTAATTACGCACAGACACATGTATGCCATATTTGGGGAGGCAGGGCTGTCCCTATTCGTGGGGGGTTTAATTCACATTCCGAAGGCACTCTCTCTGCTTACTGCCATCTGCCATCTCATGTCCTCTCGGATTGCTCTTCCTTTCCTTCCCTCCCTTTTCAATCAATTTCCCTTGCCGCCGCCGCTCGCTCTCTATCGCTACAAACACCACAACACTTCCTGCCTGCCAACGTTATTCATGCAACTACCCTCATCAGTGTAAGTGAAACCCTGCCATTTTCACCTTGGCATATATGCTCCCATTGTTTGCTTCCCCTGCATGCCTTCTTCTCTCCCCTGTATTTCATTCCCACTTCTCCATCCCCCCCCCAAAAAAAAAAAAACACCTGTTTAGCTTCCCATCTCGTCTGTTCTACCAAATACGCGCGCCCCACAATATATATATATATATATATATATATTCTCTTGAATATGATCCATATTTTAACTCTTTGAAAATTATTACTATAATCGCGTGTCATGTTTTCTAAATCTAAAAAATATGTATATATATCAAACATTCCTGGAGGTAATAATTATTGTCTTGAAAATGCTGTATATTTATAAGCAACCAGACACGGGCAGTCTATTTTAAGTCACGCTTCATGTTTACCAGACGCGTTGGTTCACTACGGTTGAGTTGATCAAAGCATGCCTGACGCTTGTGTGACTAGTTTATAATCCTCTGGTTTAATCATATAATCATGAATAGTTTATGGCGCGAAAGTTATGCGCACACTACGCACGGTTTCAACTTTAATTAGTGTCAGTTCGAACCAGAAGGTAAAAGAATTTTCTATGTATTTCTGTCCGCCGCCATGGTGATTTTCCCTTTGTTTTAATTTCAATTAACTAAACTGAATAAATAACGCCAATAGAATACTAAAAAGGCTGCAGTGGTTCATTTGCAAAGAATCTTCTTCGACTTAGATTGAGGATATTCAATTGATTGATCATGAGCCCTCAAAAAAAAAAATAATAATAATAACTCGACGCAACATAACGTGCATGATTCATCATTCTTTTCTAATTCTAAAACCCAAACGACGTCGCTCTAGCATATTTTGAAGAAGAAAAAAAATAGAAAAAGGTTGAATTGGCGAAGGCATGCATGTCTCTGACACTTTGTCATCCCCAAGTGGCAAACAATATTCCTAAGTTTTTTCACAGCTAAAAAACTCCTCTCTCGTTATTTTGAAAAGTGATTTCTAATTTCTACTTCCAATGATTACTGGTGTGTGTTTCCATTCCTGAGAGCATGTAAATCACGCGCTGAAAAGCGGGGCGAGGAAGCCCCATATCAGCATTTGCCTTTGGTCACCATCATGAATGCAGACTGCCAAACTTTGTCCTGTTATAGCATAATGCTTCTCTTCGTTTAAACTATTTTCGTTCCTAGCGCAGTCCGCTCCTCAAGCTGTAAACAAAACCTGCCCTCCCTCTCTAACCAGAAAATGCGCTGTCTCTCTTCCTTCTCTCTCTTTCTTCTTCCCCCTCCTAACTCAGAGTTTCGCCTTCTTCTCTGCAATTGCTCTCTCTCTCAAACTTCACCTTAATTCAATCCCAACATAACCCATCACTTTCCTTCTCTTTCTTCTTCGGTCCCATTTACACTTTTGCCTACTTCTTCGTCTCTAGCTCCCCGATACCTAGAAATTAATTATCAGCAATACTATCTAGCCAGGGGAAATTTAACCATGCACCATTTCTGCTCTCATCTCTCCTGCTCTTCTTAGTATAGCGCCTTTCCTTCTCCAAGCCTTGCAGATTCACGTGTCCTTGTGGATCATTTTCAGCTTTTCGTTTGTTACATAGTTACGAGGGAAACCCTAGCTAGCATCACAAATCTCAGCCTCCGCGAGGTCTGAATCTAATCCCGAAAAGCTCAAGATCTGCTTCGTTTCCCGCATGGATTTGGTTTCGGAAACCACGGAGGCAGTGATCAGCAACCCCAACACTCCATCGTCGGCGTCAACAACTCCAAGCCGTTACGAGAACCAAAAGCGTCGCGACTGGAACACTTTCTGCCAGTACCTCAGAAATCACCGTCCTCCACTGTCCCTGTCCATGTGTAGCGGGGCTCATGTGCTGGAATTCCTTCGCTATCTGGATCAGTTTGGGAAGACCAAGGTTCATTACCCAAGCTGCCCCTTCTTCGGCATCCCCAATCCTCCGGCTCCTTGCCCTTGCCCTCTACGGCAGGCCTGGGGTAGCCTCGACGCCCTCATCGGCCGCCTCCGTGCCGCTTACGAGGAGCACGGTGGTGCTCCGGAGTCCAACCCCTTCGGTGCTCGTGCCGTCCGACTCTACTTGCGCGAAGTTCGTGACTTCCAGGCCAAGGCCAGGGGAGTTAGCTACGAGAAGAAGAGGAAGAGACCTAAGCCGAAGATGCTGCCTTCCCCAAGTAACATTGATTCCACTACGGCTACTCCGTTTTAGTGGAGATCGATGGAGAATCAGGAATAAATATCCTTGATTATATCCACAATATATATATATATGGTCCCCCCCCCCCCCCCAAAACACAAATTTCTTTCTTCGTGATCTTTCCAAGTCGCTGAAGTAACTAGCAAGAGCCCAAGTAATTAGGTACTTTTCGTTTTCCGAAGACGTGTCTTTGTTTTAGATCGTCGAGAATTCAGAGGCCCGTGTCCCTCGAAATTGTCATGAGTTGGCGAAATAGGAATAGAGGTCGAATTACCACAGGAGCTCTCTTCCGAATAATCAATTGTTGTGCAGAAGAGGCGACTACTGTTTGTGCTGAAATATCATGATACATAGTGTATCTGTGAGCCGTGTATACTTAATCTGTACTTTATCTAATATAAATTGCTGTTCTTATTGTAAATGATTATATTTCGCAATGGATGATATTTTACTTGCATCGGTACTCTACCGGTGTATTTGCATATATAGCTGCTGGTTGCTGGATGTGTTTTCGACATATGGCTTCCGTGTTCGAGTGGTGTACCGTAGCTCGGCCCTATTATAATTTCTTTGATCAATTAATTTTTGTCTAAATAAATTGACTCGCGGCTGTTTCACTTCATGATTGTTCACGCAGATGCAGAGAGATCTTCAGCAGGAAACATCTCTTGAGAACGTTATACTGAAGAGGTGCATTTAGATTGGCTTGAAATATACACGATGCTCGCAGGAAAAACTGCCGATGAAGAAGGGCGTTTGGCAGTGTTGTATCGACTGGAAGAACTCCCATCATTTGATTGAATATTCCTCCTGAAAATGCATGCTAAAATGTCCTGCGAGGTAATGGAGCGAGAAAAATCACCTCGATTCGGCTCGTTCTAGTCGGATTTTGATGACTTCCGAGGAAACTTGGTGAGAAATTGCTTCAGCATAGTGATGAGTAGCTAAAATCTATACAAGCTTGAACCCCTGAAGAATTAATCTAACCCTTGGGACAAAAGCGGGATTAGAAACCCTAAATCATAGAACAAATTTAATAATTAATTAGAAAAAAAGATCTGTGGCCAAAACAAATTTCTTTACAAAGATCAATATGATATTTAATATATTTCAAAGATAGGTCCACTCCCTTGTGGAACGGATCCACCTTCTGCAACTCCACGGCCATGTCATCTTTCACGGCAGCAACGAGAAGATCGCCCACAGCGTTGTTGATATCTTTCACCAAACTTGGGCTGGGGATTGCATCTTCCATTATTCAACAGAGATGGTGACGATCACAGAAGTTGGAGACGGTAACGGTGATGGATGACGGAGATGGTGACGACGATGCATGCCGGAAATGGTGACGGAGAAAGAGATGTAGAGGGCGACGGGTGAAAGACATTGCAGGTTGCATTGATGAAAAATCAAAGCTCTAAAGCTAGGTGCTCTAACAATGAATGAAAAATAACTTAAAATGCATCGTAAACCACAATCTTGCACTCTCTCTCTGTCAATGAAACCTGGCGATGCCAGCGCCAGTTATCGCAGCAAGGCAATGCTTGACGGAGCCGCTCGTGGCTTTGGACTTCCAGAAGCTTGATTGCCACTTGGGGTGACAGGTGAATAATTTTTAGAGGTTAAAAATTTTCCATCAGTCAACGTTAGTTGAAGAATGACATTGCTTTATTTTTTACGCTTTTAAGGCAATATTATCCTTCTAAAAAGTAAGGATATTGAGTACTTCTTGATTAATTCTCAGCAAACTTCCTCGGAAGTCATCAAAATCCAACTCAAATGAGCCAAATTGTGGCAATTCTTCTCATTCCAGTCCATCGCTGGACATTTTAGCATGCATTATTTTGGAGGAATAATCGATCAAACGGTGGAATTTCTTCCAGTCGATACAACACTGCCAAATGCACTTATTCATCAACAGTTTTTCCGGCGAGAATCATGTCTGGAATCGAGTGTCGGTAGTTCTTATGCAATTGTCCTCACTTCCATCTTCCTTTCCCGAGTGTCGGTATCTCTCTGTTAGTCAACCGTTAGTAAAATGTTGGTCAAAGATTAAAAAATAATGACATTATTGTACTGTTAACAGTTCCTAATAAATATTACTTATTTTAAAACGTAAAAGTGTGACATTTTTTTATCGGGAAAATAACATCAAATTTTTTTCCACTTATCTAAATGATATTTTAATCTTTTTATCTTTTAAAATAATATAATTTTTTTGAGGTCTTTAAAAATTTTTTTATCATTAAAGAATTAATGTAAAAAAACTGAATTATTTTTAAAATCTCAAGCTTCAAAGCAGATACTTGCAAATTTATAAATTGTTATTGAATTCTTGCATTTTTTTAAAAAAAGTTATGAGTATTAAAACAAAATTTATAAATAATAATTGATATTTACAACATTTAAAAAATATTAGAATTTTAAATGTAAATTTATGAATTACTATTGAATTCTTACAAATGTAAAAAGAAAAATTATAAATCTTAAAAAAAACTTATTAATAGCAAGTGATATTTGCAACACTTAAAAAATATTAAGATTTTAAATATAAACTTACGAATTACTATTGAATTCTTCTAAATTTAAAAAGAAAATTTACAAATTTTAGAATAAAATTTGTGAATAGCAATTGATATTTACAACATTTAAAGAATATCATAATTTTGAATGCAAACTTGCGAATTGTTATTAAATTTTTGTGATTTTTTAAAAAAATTATGAATATTAGAACAAAACTTGTGAATTACGAGTGCAAAGTATCTATTTTGAGGCTTGAGATTTTTATTTTAATCAAGGACAATTTAATCTTTTATATTAATTCTTTAATGATATAAAAGTTTCTAGAAGTTTCAGAAAAATTATGACATTTTGAGAGATTAAAAAGTCATTTACATAATTTAAAAAAATTTTATCATCATTTTTTTATTTTTATGATTAACCTAAGAATTAAAATAAGGGGCTAGGTATATACTCCCTCCATTTCTATTTGTAGGAAAAATTACTACTTTTTACTTATTTTTTATATAAGTAAATTCACATATTTCAATAAATATTTATTACACATTTTTTAAATTATCTCTCATAATTTATATTAATAAAAAATAATTAATGCATACTTATATTAATGAATATAAAGAATTTATTTTAATTTTTTATTTTTAAATATAATTATTATGATTAATTAATTTTCTTAAATTATGTGATATATATATATATATATGTATGTATGTATGTATGTGTGTATGTATAAATATACATATATATAAACGGAGGGAGCAGTAGTTGAAACTTGAAAGGAGATGCAGCGAAACCTGCGGTGTGGGACAGCAAGACGAAACATGGATAGATACTACCCAGGCGGATAACGAGTCAGCTTAAAAGACCGGACCTGTCTTTGAAGGATCCCCGATCAAAGGGCAAGGAAGCTATTTGCCCAACACCAAAAACATGATGAAAAGTGGCTCCTCATGGTATACAGCTGGGTTAGCTGACGATGGACTGTCTCCTCTCGTGGATTATCTGGGTCAGGTCATTTCAGTTAAAAGAGACTCTTTATGTTCAATTTCTCGAAAGCTTTTTCTAATTTATAATATCATATTCAATTCTCTCGAGAGCTGGGCTTTCCTGCCTGCCTTGTATATAGGAAAACTCGAATCTTGAAATTAAGCTTTACGTACTATGGAAAGGGACTGGCCAATCATTATGCTTATTCAAAGATTAAGGTTTTTAATTTCCTCAAGTGGCTCAGTATCATGATTTTCATGATCCTAAACAACCAAATTTACTTTTATACGGTTGACGCTGGCGTTTACTGGAAGTTGATGTTGTTCTGCATAGTAGATTAGTAGATGTGTTAATCAATGGAGAAATTAAGCTGATATTGAAGAAAAAGTGGAAGCGAAAGGACATGCAGTGACGCTAACACGTACGCGATTGAATAAACACCTACTTGTCCAGGAGATTTCTCAATAATTGCTTCGTTGTGACTAAATGTGCATGCTGTGTCTATTTGAAACAAAATAGGGTTTTCGAGATGCCAATTGATCGAATGAGGGAGAAAAAAGTGGTGCCATCGGCGCATGGGAAGGAAGCATTGATCGTTTCGGATACAGGATCCAATGCCCTGGCCCCGGGATGATACAAGGCTGCATTGGCCATCTCACTCTAAGCTAGCTAGCATGAATATTAATTTGATCTGGGAAAAAAAGGGTTTGGGGAGGGGGGGGGGAGCAAGCAATTACAGACAACTAATGGCAATCCTCGTGAAACTGACGCGAATATAAGATACACAGGGATAGGGCAGGGAATCCTTAAATTTATATATTGATGCACTAGCCGTTCCAGCAACTAGATTTGTAAATTCAGCCAATCTAGCTCGGAAATTCTTTATATCATTTGTACTATCTGTCATTCCTGTTTGCGATAGTACAATTATATGGAAATGCTATTCTTTAATGTATTGCCTTCTGTTGCTGCTCGTTTTAGTGGAAACCTGAAAGGATTATTGCCATCAATTTATTCAAATGCTATCTAAAAAAGATAATGAATTCATGAATGGCGTGGATTCAGAGAAATTTTCTCGTGGGACCAGCACACATACAATTGTAAAGCATTAACATATATTACTACATTGAGTACATTTTGCATAGTGCACTATCTTAATTGTCGTCTACGATTTTTCATACATTAGAAACATTGATTTTTTAATATTATCACAAATTTGCCTCTTTCCATATACAGCTCTAGCCAAAATATCATTCAAACATCCATCTCTTGTGTGATTTTGCATTTAATTATCAATAACGAGGAAAGCAATTTCAACTATGATTTTTTTTTCATTGACAATATCTGATGTCAAATTATATAGCGCCGGGGTTTTTTTGGGGGGGGGGGGGGTTGTAACGGCAAGTGAAAATTCAGACACGGGGGGCATTATTTATTGTTACAAATACTATAGATATATGCTACTGCTGATTGAGTTGAGGAAAAATCCGCCGCCCATGATGATGACGAGGATTTGATTGTAACTCTATCAATTCAGATATAACAAAAATGATTGCGTGAACTATTCTTGCCCAAAGCAGTACAACGTCTGTAATCATGTTAATGCGGATGCGAGAAGTTAACACAAATTCAAAATTTCAACAGTGTCATGTACAGATGTCAATGATGATTTGCGCGCTCTTTCAGAGCTCTCACACAAATTACGCAATGATATTTTGAATCCCATTTCAATATCAATAATTAGTCAAATATTGTTGCCAATTATACTTTGCTTTTTACAAGCTTGTCAGCATTTTCTACGATTGTATTCTTAACCCTTTTGTATCCCATACCTTGTGTTCTCTCCTTTTTCTCCCGGTTTCCAATAATCGATGTTTCTCTATCTATCATTAACAACTAGTTTGCACGGTCACTTCTGTTTTTAATTCCGTTTAAATTTCAGTTAGGTATAATAAATTATAAAAATAATTAATTAAATAGTAAATTTTAATTATAATTAATTATGTTA